TGATTAGCTGCGTATATACGAATGTGAATCGCATCATTGGCTGGACTATGGGATAAGGTGGCATCTTCTAATCCCATACGGGAGCAGCCAGTCACTTACTAACTAACACTGCAAAACAGGATTGTTAAAGTATTAATTTTAATTTCAATTCAGGTTAGATTTTTTTTTTCTGTGTGCAACACAGATTTTCTGTGCACGGAGAGCATGCCAGCAGTGCGCAATTGCACACACGTGCAGCTTAGAGGGAACATTGCTGCTGAGCTACCCGCTTTCATTTCCTTATATTTTGCTAGGAAAATGGAAACATACAACATTCAAAACAGCCTTAACTCTTAGGTAAGATAGGCCATGTTTAAAAGCTCAATGGTTATCACTTGGATGGTACAAACATCATCAGCGATTCAGCTAAAGAAACAGGAATAAAGTGTCTAAAGATAACATTTAAAATAGATTCTTTGCCAAGTTGCCTGTTATGTGTAGAGAACTCTGGTTCATCTCATAAGCAAATATATAAATCACTAAAGTTTGACCATTTCTCCTGGTTATAGTTGTCTAATATATAAAGCTATTACAGTCTTTACATGTGCTTAGAAACAAGCAACAACTCCAGTGCACACATGGAAATCTGTGTTCTGCTACTTCAATACGTAACACTACACCTCTGAATGACCACACTTTCTCTAACATCTGACATTTAGGTTCACTGATACACACCTGTAATCGGCAATTACAACAAAATGTTTAGCACAGCCGGCTACAATCTTCTCCTGAGTCAGGCAGCCACTGGTGAAGAAGAAGAAGAGGATGAATGAGAGAAAACCGGACAGATGCTGCTTGCAATCAGACATCTGTACTGTACTCACCCTCCACCTTTTATCAGCGTGAGGTCTTTGTCCACTTCATCTGCTCCGTCAATTGCCACGTCCAGCTGCAAAAGCAAAGGCGGCAATTTTTTATTCAAGCAGACCACTGAGCACAGATACCGGTATATACAAAAACTCCTGAACCATTCCCTAAATGTAGACAATGCTATAGTCAGCTCTCCCAATCATGTCTTATTTATTTGGTTGGGGTTTGCCCCCTTTTTTTTTTTTTTTTTTTTTTATTGATAATAAGTAGAGACAGACAGGAAATCAGGACTTTCAGATTGATTTCCAATGAGCTCATCATACCTCGGGGTGCCTGTCCAGATCTGACAGAGTGAGGCCATGCTGTAGAATCAGCTGACGAGCCTGTGGGACAAAAAAAACAAAAGAAAAGCACAGAGGAAAGAAAAACACACCGTTTTAAGTAAGGGGAAATGATGTTTCAAAGCCATATTGCTCCACACTGTTGTGAAATATGCAAACCAACCTGGAAGGAGGTGGGAACACAAACAATATTGAGTTTCTCCTGACGCACTCTCTCAGCTAGAAGAGAGAGGGATAAAACACAAGGGCCATTAGTGCTTCTATTTTATGAATTCTAATAAAGACCCAAATGGTGCTGCATTTAGGAATTTGCTTGTGTTGTTAAGACAGAAAAAACTGTGCTCTGTGTTACAACTGGAGCAGAACTTCAAATCCACCTGTAGAGCTCAAAGTTGGTGTATTATCTTGTGACGTACAGTCAAAGGTTAGGTTTCCCCTCACCTAATCTATCCACAGCGTAGACGATAGTTGACCCGCTGCCCACACCAACAACCTGATTATTCTACAAAAACACAAATAAAGTCAAACAAATGCAGTGAGGCTAAATATCCCAAGGATGTGTGGAGAAAAACAAACAGCACCAAAAGATGCATAAGAGTTTAATTTACTGCAGTCATAATAACAATGATCATATCATGAACCTACTTTGTTAGGAATGCTGAGTGTTTAATTCATGTATTGGCATACTAAAAATGACTAAAACACAAGATACCAAGATTTTAGGTTTCAGCAGGTAGAAAGCTCTCTCCTGTCTCATCTAAGCCTCTCCCACTAGAAGAGTCTGGACACGTGCACGTGCTTCAGACCTGCTGGTTTGGGCTCTTCTGTTCAAGTCTTTTATTCAACCCAACGTGCAGACAGCTCACTTCTTAAGCAGACTTGTTTGCTCTATATTGCTCAGCAGCGTTTTGCTTCATGAGATTGATTTTCTAAACCCTGAACACAGAGGCGAGGGGAGGTGCAGGAGTGTACATACAAATCGTAATTGCACAACAGTAAAATGTTATTATGGACGCTCCTCATCATCATCTGCCCAAATGGATACCGGAGAGACTTTAATGTGACATTTGGTGAGCGGTCATAATGTGGTTACTGGTTAGTTTATTTAGAAAAGTACGCATGGGGCAGTCACCTTTACAGTTCTCAGACTTATGCCGTGTTAAATCAGCAGTGTACGGCTCTGTCAAATACAGCGACCGCTTAGCACTGCTTAATGCTAAGCAAAGTTAGCTAGCTATCACAGCTAATTCGCTTCCAAACCGTGCAAGTTAGATAACGGTAACAAATCGCTAAGCTGGTCTTCTAGCTGTATATTTAGCCAACTTTGCTAGCACGCTGTTATCTAAACACGCAGATAAGACTACATACTGCTGTTTCAAATCCTGTTAATAGTAAGCGACAAACTAGCATTGAATGAACGGTAACAGAACCTGCTGTACCTGAATGTGGTTATCCACGGCGGCGTAAGCAGCTAGCTTCTTCGCCTCCTCTGCCATGTTAGCTGCAGACTGACTGAAAAGACACACGTGCTTATAGTTATTGGGAACCGCCAGCCTCCGGGATGCTAGACACACAAATCCAGCTGCGTGTTTCTTGAAGGAGACCCACCCCTGAAGTGTCATGACCCGGCCCACAAGACACGGAGACAGACAGTTCCACCAAAGACAGCGCCGCGGACAGCTTTCCACTCAAACAACATAGATCTGCAGTTATAAACCCCGCCCCTTCCATGTTAGTGGATAAAATACAAATTTCTCCTCGAACTTTTGTTTTCCAAA